GTTTTCTATTTCAGCTGTTCCGCCTAAAATGCCACACTGAGGGAACAAAATTTTAGAATCAAAAAAACGTGTTAAATTTAAAATATACGCATATAAAAGAGCACCAACCCAACTCGTTTTAAATTTTAGTATGTGCGTTATAAAATATGTCGTTGTGAAGTCATATGTGCACTTTTTCGTAATTAAGAAGGAAAAAATAATAATTTTATGTTCCGTCTGATGGTAATTGAAACCGGACCCTCTTGGCAGCAACAAATTGTAGAAGCGCCTTTGCACACTCACCTACAGCCATACATGTTAACGTGTTTTCATATGTTGAGCTTGATGCTTCGTATTAGAGATGGGCACCCCCTGCGTAAGCCCGCGGGTACGGGCCGGAATATTTGCTGTCAGCACGAACTCGTGCGGGCCTGGGCGTTCAGTAAAATTTCATAAAAGCACGAAAAGGCAAGAAAAAGCACGTTGCTAATACTAAAAATTTAGATGAGCTTTTGTTTTTATACAAAAAAAAAGTGCATATTTAAAACTCTTTTGATAAGAGAAAAGCAAAGAAAAGAAATATTTGGAAACTGATAGAAAATATATGATATTTAATAGTTTTGTTTACATACATATCTGTACATAAAATACCTTCCACTTCTTAAAATATTGATTCGCTTAAGTAAATATACATATGGACATAAACACAAAATTAAAAATAAAAACATATCGAGCCCTAACTGCCAAAATAACGTAAGCGACATTTATTTCAAAATTTTCTTTTTGATGCAGAAATGTATCTAGATAATCGAGGAATATTTCTGCATCAATAAGAAAATTTAGAAAAAAATGTCGCTTACGTTATTTTGGTGGTTAGGGCTCGATATGTATACATACAATAAAATTTGGCTCTTTATTTCTGGGCTGGGGCGTGTCCCGTCGGGCCGGGCCGGGCCCCACTAAAATTCTTAACGTGCGGGCTTGTGCGTGTTTTTGAAAGTGGATTTTGCACTCGTGCCGGGCCGGGCCCGAAATTTAGGCCCGTGCCCATCTCTACTTTGTATACATATCCTTTCTTAATTACATATGAATATAAAATTATAGTTCAAAAAACTAAAACCTCGCTATTATAATTTCCATTCCTACTGTCATCAGGTATGTAACTTGAGAATAGAAATCGCTGCATCTTTTAAGCGCATCAATATTACATAGTTACATACCGAGCTAATAAAAGGGAGGTAATAATAAAAAGCATCCGAGACGTTCAAAACGCCTTCCGTTCAGTGAAAATGCTTCATTTTAATACGGGCGTATTTGAATTGAATATTTACATTATACGTACGGTACCCATATTTATGGGAGTCGAATGCGGGACAAAAAATAATTTTGCATATTTTGTGCAAAAAAACATACAGAGCTTAAACCCTTATTCAATGATCCTAGATGTATTATGCCTGAAACAGCATCCTTATAGTAACATCACAAATTTCTAGGATATTCTTCTCGAGATTGTTACCGCGCAAAATTTGTTAAAAAAGATTCGTTAAATTTAGTATAATAAAGTGCAATTTGGAAGCCGGTAGGACTTACCGTTAATTTTTCGCAGTTTTTTGTAGACGGTGTTACAAACTTTTTTCATACAAAGTATGTTCGACAACTTTTTGAAAGAGAAGAAAATGAGCAACACTTTCCACTTGCACTTTATTATACTAAATTTCAATGGACTGCAAAACTGCAAACCAATTTTCTTTTTAAGATTCTAACTAAAAAGTTTAAAATTTTGCTGAAACATTGCAGAATTAGTTTTATAGTTTTTTGCACAAAGTCTGAAATTTGGATTTATATGACTTTTGTTAGGAAAAGAGCTTTACTTTCATAAAAAAAAAAATAAACATTAAATACACTAAAGGACAAATAGCCAAACCTTGCTAAAATGTCGAGTCGTAATTTATATTTTGGACACTGTATGTATCCCTCGATTCCAATCACAGTCATTCGGGTTAGAAAATAATAACTGTTTATGGAGAAAATTACGATCATACATATACCAACATCTCTTACAACTGGTTCGTGGCATGCCATTTTGATGAGCTGTTAAGGCGTCGAAATACCGAACACCGAATACGGGACAAATACAGGACATCAAAAGAAATACAGAACATTTGGCGCCCCGTATAAAATTAATAAATTACCAGGACAATTGGTCACCAGGATGGATAGTCACCGTAATTATACGTAGTATATGTATAATGGAAAAAACCATTTTTTATTACTTTTCACTTGATTTAAATACGAACATTTGTAAACGGTAATCAAATAAAAAAATTTAATTTTTACAACGCGTTTTTTCTTTCTCAGTGCACATCAAAAAAATTCATGGAAAAAAATATGTTTGCGTTCATTTATTTTTGCGAAATACAAAAACGAAAATTTGGCAAGCCTGATTCTCTCACCGCTCTCAATTTCTGTAACGCCGTAACTTCGGAATCTAAAATCTACAGGTTCTTAAGCTGCTAACGGTACGTTAAGTTTTAACTAACCGCCAACACAGTTCCTATATAACCGGTTGGACAAAATATTAAGTTAAGTTAAGTTACGGAAAGTAAATCTAGACTAACTGAGCTTTTAGTGTACTTGCCTTTAATGTATCTCGGGTACAGTTATTGTCTCTGGCACTACCTAAGTTAATATCGAAAAATCTTAACAAAAGCCTCTGGCCGAAAGGAGCCTTAAGTTGCCATTCCCAATCTCGATTTGGTGGTGTTTTTCCCGGATAACCTGGAGATCGTATTATTCCATTTGCCTCTCCTTCTAAATCTACCACTCCTCCACAAATATAAACCGATGATCTCCACGTAATATTAAATCCGGCTCCATTTGTCTCATTATCCGACCGAAACCAGAAAAACAAGGCGTTCTGCGAAGTTTGTATATTTCCGCCCAAAGGCAAAGAATTACCACAAAAGCGACCTATTAGCCGAGAAGTCAGCGATCGACCGTCATGGAGTTGAAGCCAATCTTTATTACAGTCTGAAGATGCTTCCAAATCAAACCTAACAAGTGTTATATATGGACATATGGACATAAACACAAAATTAAAAATAAAAACATATCGAGCCCTAACTGCCAAAATAACGTAAGCGACATTTATTTCAAAATTTTCTTTTTGATGCAGAAATGTATCTAGATAATCGAGGAATATTTCTGCATCAATAAGAAAATTTAGAAAAAAATGTCGCTTACGTTATTTTGGTGGTTAGGGCTCGATATGTATACATACAATAAAATTTGGCTCTTTATTTCTGGGCTGGGGCGTGTCCCGTCGGGCCGGGCCGGGCCCCACTAAAATTCTTAACGTGCGGGCTTGTGCGTGTTTTTGAAAGTGGATTTTGCACTCGTGCCGGGCCGGGCCCGAAATTTAGGCCCGTGCCCATCTCTACTTTGTATACATATCCTTTCTTAATTACATATGAATATAAAATTATAGTTCAAAAAACTAAAACCTCGCTATTATAATTTCCATTCCTACTGTCATCAGGTATGTAACTTGAGAATAGAAATCGCTGCATCTTTTAAGCGCATCAATATTACATAGTTACATACCGAGCTAATAAAAGGGAGGTAATAATAAAAAGCATCCGAGACGTTCAAAACGCCTTCCGTTCAGTGAAAATGCTTCATTTTAATACGGGCGTATTTGAATTGAATATTTACATTATACGTACGGTACCCATATTTATGGGAGTCGAATGCGGGACAAAAAATAATTTTGCATATTTTGTGCAAAAAAACATACAGAGCTTAAACCCTTATTCAATGATCCTAGATGTATTATGCCTGAAACAGCATCCTTATAGTAACATCACAAATTTCTAGGATATTCTTCTCGAGATTGTTACCGCGCAAAATTTGTTAAAAAAGATTCGTTAAATTTAGTATAATAAAGTGCAATTTGGAAGCCGGTAGGACTTACCGTTAATTTTTCGCAGTTTTTTGTAGACGGTGTTACAAACTTTTTTCATACAAAGTATGTTCGACAACTTTTTGAAAGAGAAGAAAATGAGCAACACTTTCCACTTGCACTTTATTATACTAAATTTCAATGGACTGCAAAACTGCAAACCAATTTTCTTTTTAAGATTCTAACTAAAAAGTTTAAAATTTTGCTGAAACATTGCAGAATTAGTTTTATAGTTTTTTGCACAAAGTCTGAAATTTGGATTTATATGACTTTTGTTAGGAAAAGAGCTTTACTTTCATAAAAACAAAAATAAACATTAAATACACTAAAGGACAAATAGCCAAACCTTGCTAAAATGTCGAGTCCTAATTTATATTTTGGACACTGTATGTATCCCTCGATTCCAATCACAGTCATTCGGGTTAGAAAATAATAACTGTTTATGGAGAAAATTACGATCATACATATACCAACATCTCTTACAACTGGTTCGTGGCATGCCATTTTGATGAGCTGTTAAGGCGTCGAAATACCGAACACCGAATACGGGACAAATACAGGACATCAAAAGAAATACAGAACATTTGGCGCCCCGTATAAAATTAATAAATTACCAGGACAATTGGTCACCAGGATGGATAGTCACCGTAATTATACGTAGTATATGTATAATGGAAAAAACCATTTTTTATTACTTTTCACTTGATTTAAATACGAACATTTGTAAACGGTAATCAAATAAAAAAATTTAATTTTTACAACGCGTTTTTTCTTTCTCAGTGCACATCAAAAAAATTCATGGAAAAAAATATGTTTGCGTTCATTTATTTTTGCGAAATACAAAAACGAAAATTTGGCAAGCCTGATTCTCTCACCGCTCTCAATTTCTGTAACGCCGTAACTTCAGAATCTAAAATCTACAGGTTCTTAAGCTGCTAACGGTACGTTAAGTTTTAACTAACCGCCAACACAGTTCCTATATAACCGGTTGGACAAAATATTAAGTTAAGTTAAGTTACGGAAAGTAAATCTAGACTAACTGAGCTTTTAGTGTACTTGCCTTTAATGTATCTCGGGTACAGTTATTGTCTCTGGCACTACCTAAGTTAATATCGAAAAATCTTAACAAAAGCCTCTGGCCGAAAGGAGCCTTAAGTTGCCATTCACAATCTCGATTTGGTGGTGTTTTTCCCGGATAACCTGGAGATCGTATTATTCCATTTGCCTCTCCTTCTAAATCTACCACTCCTCCACAAATATAAACCGATGATCTCCACGTAATATTAAATCCGGCTCCATTTGTCTCATTATCCGACCGAAACCAGAAAAACAAGGCGTTCTGTGAAGTTTGTATATTTCCGCCCAAAGGCAAAGAACTACCACAAAAGCGACCTATTAGCCGAGAAGCCAGCGATCGACCGTCATGGAGTTGAAGCCAATCTTTGTTACAGTCTGAAGATGCTTCCAAATCAAACCTAACAAGTGTTATATTCAAAATGAGTGCTTCATCGGTGCGAATTATCCATGCGCATCGTTCGTTCGGCAAATAACTGCTCTCATCAGGTGGATATGACAAAGATCCAGAAGGTTGTCGAATTATCGATCCACAAATATTTCGAACGATTTCACAGTCCGGGCCGGTTGTACCGCGAGGGCATGCACATCGGTATTTATTGCTTATCGTCAGAGTGCAAGTTCCACCATTGAGACACGGTTTAGAGTGGCAGGCATCCGGTTGATCACATGTGGGACCCATATATCCGTGAGTACAGATGCATCGCGTGCCACCACCTAGCACTTCGCACGTACCGTTATTCTATAAGTTAATACAGTTAATAGAAAGACCAGGTATTCGCTTTGACACAAAGGCGACAGAAAATTTACGAACCTGACAAGTATGATTTGCGCAGAGATTTGTTGACGTTGATACACTGCAACCTTCGACACCAAACCCATGACCGTACATACCGGGAGGGCAGGTGCATACAACAGTATTTGATACGTAATCGCATTTCGCTTTGTCATAGCATACATTATTGGATTCGCAACTTTCGGGTGCGTTGCTCTCACAAAGTTTACCATTACCTTCCCAACCCGCGGGGCAGCTGCTACAATGGTATGATCCCTAAGGAAAAATAAAGAACAAAGTGTACAGTCTCTAAAAAACTAAACTCATTGAAATATATCTGTGGTCATAAGCAATAACCGCCTAAGTCGACTTAAGAAAGAATTGAGTTATATATGCTATCATATTCTGCAACTACTATTCCATGTGTATGTGAAATCCCTATCTCGCCATCTAGGCTATTTAAAAAGTTATAGACGAACATATTTTGTTTCCCCATAAGGTTAACATTACAATCCAAATGTTTAAAGCGTTTTTTCTCGAATTCAGGTTTTTGAACTAATGCGGTTATTGTTTATGACCACAGATATATCGGTTATTTACTAAATAGACTTTCAGATCTCAAAAAGCACAATTTTGGAGGAGACGTGAGTTATTTCATAAGTCCAATGTGCATACATGCATATTCATATATATATATATATATATATACAACTTAATATGTTAATACTATCCTACAAAAATCGGGACTACTCCAGGCATGCATGTATTTACTCACTAAGGATCAAGGAGTACTCCAAAACTAACCACAATGCATAAAAAGAATTTGTCCAATTAACATTTCGATGTTCTATGGCAGGACCATATACTCCAGCTCTGCATTACTTCGGAGTAGCACAAAACTACTCCAACATATTAACAATGTCATTGTTGATACATTTTTTCGCTTGTACACGCTTTTGTTCTGCACAATGTTGCCATTTCGGTGCTTTTGGAGCTAGATTTAGCTCTTTATTTTTCTANTTTGTACACGCTTTTGTTCTGCACAATGTTGCCATTTCGGTGCTTTTGGAGCTAGATTTAGCTCTTTATATTTCTATTTAGCTCCGAAAATTGGGCTTTAGCTCCTGGCTCTTTTTGTTAGCTCTTTTCAAATTTATCTAGCACCTTATTAGCTCCAAAAAGTTTTAGTTGTATTTGGTAATATATAAAAAGTAAAAATCTGTAATTTCATTGTACAAGTGTTGACTAAAACTTATTTGGCTTTGCTGATCTCAGGCTATTCTCGATACCTTCGTGTTATTCTATTTCGATTAATGCTTAGAAACGTTCCATTCCTAATGCAAATGGCGTTTAAGTAAATGGAANGGCTCTTTTTGTTAGCTCTTTTCAAATTTATCTAGCACCTTATTAGCTACAAAAAGTTTTAGTTGTATTTGGTAATATATAAAAAGTAAAAATCTGTAATTTCATTGTACAAGTGTTGACTAAAACTTACTTGGCTTTGCTGATCTCAGGCTATTCTCGATACCTTCGTGTTATTCTATTTCGATTAATGCTTAGAAACGTTCCATTCCTAATGCAAATGGCGTTTAAGTAAATGGAAAATGGGCAAGTAAGTCGACTAGTTTCTACAACGTGCACGGGAGCACACAAACTATACCGGTCAGTAATTTGAGCTCCGATAAGCTCTGACGGTGTATTCTCTCTCGGGCGGTCACGGTGCAAAATGAAAGCCAAAACTTAAGCGTTGATAAAATTACTAATTTCAAAACGCAGTGGAAAAACATACATTTGTATCCACGAGTAAATAGAGACTACACCATAAACTGTCGGATTTAGGTAAATGAATTCAAAAATTAACTAGAAGAATGAATCTGAATGAATCTTTTTAGAAAAATTTGGTGAAAAAATAATTCGTTACCTNTCGGATTTAGGTAAATGAATTCAAAAATTAACTAGAAGAAAAACATTTTTCTGAATGAATCTTTTTAGAAAAATTTGGTGAAAAAATAATTCGTTACCTGAGGTTTTATGATCAATTCAAATATTTGAAATAGCAGATTTTAACAGTTTGTTAAGTATTTTTAGATCATTGTCTGGTTTATATTGTCGTTTAAAGAACAAAACCGCGTATCGTCATTCTGCAAAACCGCGTAACTGGTATTACCTGCCAAGAATGGGATTTTCTCACACAAGCTCTTGGCTCAATCCTTATCCATTCGTCCTGAAATATACTGGTCAGGTATGCGATTTCTTTATAAAAAAGAGAACCATTTTGAAAAATGAGCGTTTTTACTCTCTAGAAGATAATATACATAATTCACATACGCGGGTTTGCATTTTGTTGATACGTGATTTCGTACTTTAAACGACGATATAAGTATATGCATAAATCCTTACCAATATTATAAATCCGAAAGTGAGTTTGTTTTTTGCTACGCTTTCACGCTTTAAGTACTCAACCGATCATCATAAAATTTTGTACACTCCTGTCATTTAGCCCAACTTAAAATATAGGATACATTTAATTTCGATTAGACAAAGGGGCGTGGCACCTCCCATACAAACGGAATTTTTCATACAGCATTTCTCAGGAAATCTTTTTGGTAGATTACTGGAACTTGGTGTGGAGATATATAAAATCATTATTTACTCATGGATGAGGGCTGCCACCTTTTAAAAAAATCAAATTCAACTTCAATTAGGGCGGTTTTTTATTTGAAAATTATATTAAAACAAGTAAGAAAGTCTAAGTTCGGGCGGAGCCGAACATTAAATACACGGCGCAAGTATTAAATATATGTTTTTTCACCTTTTCGAAAGCTGCCGCTAGATGGTAAGCCGGAGTGTATCAATTTTGAGTAAATTAGCGCCCTTAAATTTCAAAATATTGCAGTTTAAAACATTTCTGAAATTTACCGTTATATGAAAAAAGGCCGTAATTTTAGTCCGATTTCAATAATNGGCTGGCACCTTTTAAAAAAATCAAATTCAACTTCAATTAGGGCGGTTTTTTATTTGAAAATTATATTAAAACAAGTAAGAAAGTCTAAGTTCGGGCGGAGCCGAACATTAAATACACGGCGCAAGTATTAAATATATGTTTTTTCACCTTTTCGAAAGCTGCCGCTAGATGGTAAGCCGGAGTGTATCAATTTTGAGTAAATTAGCGCCCTTAAATTTCAAAATATTGCAGTTTAAAACATTTCTGAAATTTACCGTTATATGAAAAAAGGCCGTAATTTTAGTCCGATTTCAATAATTTTCAACGTTTTGCTTTTATGTGGCGANAAATAACTTTCAACGTTTTGCTTTTATGTGGCGAGCACAATAAAAATACCGAGCTTGGTACAATTTGGTAGAACGGTTACCGATATAAATATATGTAATCATAAGTGGGCGGTGCCACGCCCATTTTCCAAAATTTTTCCATAAACGTATTTCTTGGTAAAGAATTGTTGCAAGCATCAATTTTTCATAAATTAGCTTAAATATTTACTGATTTAACGAAGATTTTGTATTTCTTTAAATTACCGTTATATGGGATGTGGGCGTGGTTATTGTCCGATTTTAGAAATTTTCGGCCATTTGATATGGTGTACCAAGGCCAACAACCGTGCTAAGTTTGGAAGAAAATGGTGCAGCGGTTACCAAGTTATACACATGTAACCATAAGTGGGCGTGGCTCCGCCCATTTTCCAAAAATTTTTAATATTCTTATTTTTTGTCTAAAAATTGTTGTAAATATCAATTTTGAGTGAATAATCTTCAGTAGTTACTAAAATATCGCAGTTTTCGTATTTCTGAAATTAGCTTTAATATTTACTGATTTATCGAAGATTTTGTATTTCTTTAAATTACCGTTATATGGGATGTGGGCGTGGTTATTGTCCGATTTTAAAAATTTTCGGTCATTTTATATGGTGTTCCAAGGCCAAAAACTGTGCTAAGTTTGGAAGAAATTGGTGCAGCGGTTACCAAGTTATACACATGTAACCATAAGTGGGCGCGGCTACGCCCATTTTCCAAAAATTTTTAATATTCTTATTTTTCGTCTAAAAATTGTTGTAAATATCAATTTTGAGTGAATAATCTTCAGTAGTTACTAAAATATCGCAGTTTTCGTATTTCTGGAAATTACCGTTATATGGGAAGTGGGCGTGGTTAAAGTCCGATTTCGCCCATTTTCAATACCAACCTACCTTGGAGTAACGTAAGCCTACATACCAAATTTCGTTAAGACGGACAGACGGACAGACAGACAGACGGACGGACAGACAGACATGGCTTACTCGATTTCTCTATTCATTCTGAGCATTTATGTATACATTTGTCTATATCTATCTCGATTCGTTTTGGGTGTTACAAACAACCGTTATGTGAACAAAATTAATATACCCTGTGCACAAGTGCGCTCGGGTATAAAAATGGATGCCAAGAGGCTTAAAAATTTTGTAGCTTGAATATGTCGTTTTAAGGGTTGCCACCTGTTTGCAAAGTCAAATTTAAATTAATTATATGCAAGCTATCTGAAGAGTTAAAATAAGGCTGTCAAACGAAATATTGTTAAGAAACCTTTAGTTTTAAAGTTTTGAATAATACTGAAGTTTTTCACAAGGGTTGCCACCTTTTTAAAAATTCAAACACGAGCAGACCCGGCGAACTTCGTTCCGCCCAAATTTATTATTTTTTTATTGGAACTTTTTGTCCAACATTTTCACCAATAATTCACGTTTACGATTTCCATTGGCACGCTCACCGGCTAAGATTATGGTTTAGTGGTCGTTTGCTGCCTTAAATAACCTAACGAAAGCGTTATGGCCGTGAAGAAGTTCTTTAAATTCTCTAATTGCGCAGCATTTCATAGAAAGGTTAATCTCACAACGAAATAAATGTGAAGAACATTTCCTCTTCACTCCCTGGCGGCAACAATGATCCGATTCTATAGTGAATCTGTCCCAGAAACTTTAGAGTATAGTTGGTGGCAATTACAAAATGGATTCGTATAATTGTTCTACAGAATTCCAATATATGTACACAGCAGTTTAAGTATTGGCGGGTGAATTTGTGAAACTACACTATCCAGAGTGTTATTCAAAAACACAAAAAAATCCATGCGAGCATTTAGGAGAATTTCACTCACAAACATACCTACAGATGAATTTTATATACGTTTGTACGGCGCCACGCCCTCTTTTTAAATAGCCCATTTTTCTCCATGAGTATAAGATTAATTTCATATATCTCCACACGAAGTCCCAGTACTCTACCATGAA